GTATATAAAACGAACGACTTTAGGGCGCTCCTTAATACTTACTCAACATGTACTCATTACATTATGATACGTATGTCGAATGATCGTAGAATATTATGTAACAATATACTGTTAGTATTTGCTTCGAAGCTTCTCAGAAGCTACATGTTCTGTTAGGGATTATTACCTACATAATTACGTTGAGTTATAAATATGATTATATTTTGCAGATAAAAACAAAAATTGTGCATCAATTAATAGAACTTCTTAACTTGTACAGTTCTGATGAAACAATTTCTGATGATGCAATGGAAAAATCAAGTAGTACAGAGAGCGTCAGTTCGTCCAGTAACAGTAGCGACGAAGATCATGCAGACTTATTACTTTTTTCTCTTCTGCATTACTTAACAACTGGCAGAAAGAGACATCGAATTGAAGATTATTTTTTGAGTATTGACTCTTGGACAGATGAAGAATTTAAGGAACATTTAAGATTGAATCGGAATACTGCACAAAAACTGATTGGTAAATATTCATCATCAATTTATACATACTGATCTACAAAATTAATTATTGTAAGTATAATTTTTTTATTATTTATATACTATATATTCTTTCTAAAAAATGTCTGATATCTCGAAAAACTTATCTTTTCACAAAAGGTAAAAAAAGCCGTTAAGTGCACGCACTACACATAATGTTTTTAAACTGATTAACTTAAAACTCTTAACTTTCAAACTGCATGTCATTATTTATACAGTTTCAGTTAAACAAAAAAAATTTATTTTATTTTAGTTTACTATATATTACATTACAAAATAGTGATATCAAAAAATAACAACAAGTAAACTTTTGTACGATATTTTTTAACATACTACAAAACCTTCTTTCTCTAAAATCTGTTTTACAAAATGGAAAATGTGTGATATCTCGAAAAACTTACCTTTTTGAAAAAGGTTAAAAAAAGGCGCCAAGTACACGCACAACACGTATTGTATGTTATTATTTAAATACTATAGAAACTTCTTTTTCTCTATAAACACAATTTTATAAATTATACAAAAACTTCTTTCTGTATAAAACCTGTTTTACAAAATAATATATTCTATAAAACATAGTTTCTCTAAAATCCTGTTTTACAAAAGAAGTGATATCACAAAATAGCACCAAGTGAACTTTTGTATGTTATTTATTTCTACAGAAAAAATCTTTTTTTTATATAAAAATAAGTCTTCTGTGAACAACTTGCACAGAAGACTGCAGAGTGCAGAATAATGTGAAAGTGAAAATCTTGCAAGACAAGACACTTTTACACATATCTCGCATCTAACATATTCAGACATCGCAAAGTTGTCGCAAAGCAAATGCGACAACTTTGCAAGAGAAGACTTTTATATATCAGAGGTCTTGCAAACCAAGACCTCTGCACAGACATCTTGCAACGTACGTGTTATTAACATACGTAACAAATGTTACTCCCGAGTAACGGAGAACGCATTTGCGATGTCTAGCGATAAGTTAGAAGTTACGCCGTTACTCGTAGTATACGTAGAAAGAAATTGCTGGGCCTACTAAATTTTTGTTACATCATCAACAAAACGATTTGTACTGAAATTAACAAGTAGACCCAGCAAAATTTTATTTTCCATGAAAAAAAACTATTGAGTGTAGTTTGTGACGTGACGCCTTTTCGGCGCCCGTCACTGTGTAGTTAACACGGCCAGAGAGGAGGACGGTAGGCTCGCGTCTCTCATGGTTTAGAGAGAGCGACCTACCTTTGTTGCGTGGTGCACTTAGATGCACCGGTCTCTCGTTGTCGGTGCGCTCAGCACCGATTTTGAATACCGTGCGCCGACGGGCGCAAGCGAATGTTTCGCGTATATTATTGTGTAACGGCCGTTTTATATTAATGTTAATTGCGTTGCGTGAGCCGCAGGGCGGCGTATCGTTTTGTGTGTCTGTGGTATTTTATTTTAGCGGCAAGAGAGAGACATCTTAGGCATCGGCGTCAACCAGGAATGACGATGGGAAGACAGCTAGGCAGGAGCGTACGACGTGGAGAGCAGAGTGGCGGGAAGCGACCGGTTGTCTCAGAAAGGGGCGGTCGGAGAAGGTGCCACCCGGACACTAAAAACGTTGTCGGGATCCGACGAGCGCGTACGACCTGCCGACCCGATGTGGAGGATCATCCTTAGAAAGCTGCGGAATCGTCTACATAAATCGGGCGGTGAGGGCCCGGTGCAGGTCTACAGTCGCCCTTGGAAGGACAACGCGGATCCACGCGTGTGACGATCGATCACCGCGCCACGCGCGCGCCACCTGATTGGCTGCTTAACATACTGCGCGATCTGCCGTACAAAAGGAAATCGATGCGGTAGCGTTTAGCGATCACTGTTGCGCGTACCGTTGCTGAGGCGTGAGCCACCGGGGAAACCTCCTGAAAAGCCTCTCTGTCGCGGTAAAGTGCCGTTTGGAGGCAAGGTTCGGTCACCGGTTACTCGAGGAGGACCCGAGACCGTGATATCCGGTGGAGGAGACGATATAATTGCCAAATAAGATCCGAGGCTAGCTGTCGACGCCGATAAGTGCCATTAAGTTTCTCACCCCCGCAACTGCGTGTCGCGTGTTGCTTTTGATACCGATCTACCGCTCCGGTGACTCGAATTCCGTTTGTTTAGCGCCGCGGATTCGACGCGGAGGTAATCGTGGCAAGCGTTACCGGGACATGTCAGATCTGCGAGGAGAACTGTGTATTTTGTCGTGTTGATAAGTAGAGTAAAGATCGCTCTCTCTCTCTTTTCTACGGTCGCCGCAGTCTTTCGTGTAATTGTTCTTGACGTTGCTCCGTTCTTGTCGTGTAATGTAATATTTGAGTAATCGTACCGTGTTCGTTCGACTTCGTTGTAATTGAGTGCGTGCGTACACTGTCGTGAACAGTCTCAAGTCGAGCCACCGTTTTTTTTGGCGCATTCCGTGCCTATTGTTATTACATCTGCGAGCGCGTCAGCGGCTGTGTAAACTTTCGTTACCGTTGTGTGTGTCGCGGCTTGCCGCCTAGAAATAATACTTTTTGCTAAGATCCTGTTCTATCATTACGGTCATCGATATCTTATTCGAATCGCCGTTAATCAGCGTCGTGTGCCGTCGCGTATTGTCGATCGGCTCTGACTACTCCAACTCGTTATTAGCGCCCGTGTAAACCGGCGAAGCACCGCCATACACTTGTCCATTGTCTAAATATACTATACTTTGTTAATTTGTCACGTTATCGTTACTGAGCTGAGTTTCTTTCTCCCATACACCCACAAGCTGCCTCTCGAACCTCGCCTCTCCGTTCTACATTCTGAGCTGTCGAGTAATTAGTATTTCGAGAGATGGCCGTCACGTCCGAGGTAATTGGTGATATTATGCCGTGTGTTTGTGCGGCGTGATTTTCACGCCTGGCGTCCAAGGTTTGTTCGTAAACTCTTTAGAGTGAGCCAAGGACGTGCCAAAGGTGTGTGCGACGCTCCCGTACACCACCCGAAACAGGAGTAACAAAAATCAAAATACAGTCGCTCACAAGTTATAACATCAAACTGCCGTGCATATAAAAGTTTCAATTTATTATATTTGAGGTGCAGCCGCGCCAAGTTTTTTTGTATTAAATATTTTTTATTTTAAAAAAACTTTTTTGTTTTCTTTTTTTTTGTTTTTCATTAAAAATAAAGTTTTGTTGGGTCTACTAAATTTTGTTAGTGTTACGTCCCGTGGACTCCACTTCCTCCTCGCGACGTGACAACAACAAGATATGATATCACGGGAACGCAGCCGCGCGATACTGGCGCGAGACCGGATATCAATTCTTGATAGAATTAAGAATCACAGAGTTTGGAAAATT